GGGGCGGAACCGGCAGAGCCCCCAGCGTGTCCCCACTGTCCCCTCACTGCTCACAGCGTGTCCCCACTGTCCCCTCACTGCTCACAGTGTGTCCTCGCTGTCTCCGTCCCTACTCGCTGCTCACAGGGCCATCCTGACTGTCCCATCTCTGCTCACAAGGCCATCCCTATGTCCCCATCCCCGCTCACCGGGCCATCCCCACTGTCCCCCTCTGTGAAAAATGCGTATTTCATTATTGGCTTTTCACAAATATTAAAATGAATATTATACGTGCTATGTTAGAAAGTTATGCTGTATTAATTTTCTTAAGCAGTGTTTTAAATATAGTTTTAGGTTATAACATAATGTTAAAATAGAAACTATGCTATGTAAGATACTTTCTTAAAAGAGAGGACTTGCAGTGAGATAGCAGCCACAGGACACCTAAATCTTTCAGATATAAAGAATTTATTGCTCCATTATCAGAAGAAATTAACTTCTTCCTGCCTCGCTCAGCCATGAAGACACCATCAGGATTCAGAGGAAAAAGCTGACACTGCCCAGACAGAATCCTGTGTTTGAATGGAATTTATGGAATTTATGGATGAGGTGTATGAATATGCAACAGGCTGTTTCTTTTAAGGATTAATCCTTTGTTAATGTGGCTCCTTTTTCAGGCTTATTTTGCCCAGAAAAAGGTACCTGGATGGTCTGTAACTCTTTGTTTTTATTGTCTTGTATTGTCCTAATCCAAACTGTCCAAATTTTTATTACTCTAATTATATTACTATTTTAATAACCATTTTATTACTATTAAAATTTAAAAATTTAAAAACAAGTGATTGGCGTTTTTCACAGGGAGACTCCACATCCTCTGGGATCTGTGCTCAGTCACAGGGGTAAAGTTCTGCCTCATATCCAGTGGAACTGCCTGGGATCAGCTCCTGCCCATGGCTCTGGTGCCATTACCATTGGAAGGTGTCCCACCCATGGCAGGAGTTGGCACTGGATGATTTTTAAGGTCCCTTCCCATCCAAACACCTCTGTGATTCGGAGATGCATTGTCTCAATCTCTTTTCCAGCCAGGATCACAATCCTGGGCTGACAGACTCTCAGCCTGTGCTGGGGGTACCTGGTACAGGTGTTCACAGCTCTGGGTGTGTGGCACCCCTTTTGGAAACTGTCCCTAATTCAGGAAACTGCCCCAATTCCTGCTGTTCACACCAGAGTTGTTCAGGAGGGAGCAGCGTAAACTGAGCCAGCAGCAAGTGACCTTTACCACACCACAACTGTCGTGTCCAACCTGCCAGGAATGAAATGAATATCGCGGCGGGTGAAGCGAGCGGCTAAATTTGTGTCTTCAGACCCATTCCCATCTCAAGTATTAATCTGGGGAGGCACCTCCTGACGGCCTCTCTCTGCTGCTGCCTGGCCTGAAGACGTCCCATGGTTGGTAGAGCTCTGCTGTGTGTGAGGGTCAGAGAGCAGGGCTGGGTTGTGCTCCTGGTGGTGCCACAGGAATGGGGCAGAATCCTCAGAGCTCCACTCAGGCTGGAAAAGGAGCTTGGTGGAAAGCACAGCCGGGTGCTGGCACTGATCTGAGCTAGGAAGGAGCTGCAGTGGGTGCAGGACTAACCCTTTGCTGTTTGTGGTTGAGGTTTATGTGTTTATCTCTTCTCACCTGGCTTTCAAGGTGCCTTTAGAACCTGTGCATGTTCCTGTTGCCAGTTCCTCTGGGCATCCTTTCCCCTGTTTTCCCAATCCTTGGCTGTGCTTGTTTTGTGCCATTTGCCTTGATGACACGAAGCCCAGGAATTCCAAGCAGGCCTTTTTGGTGCTACAGGATACAAAAATAAATTGTTATAATTAAGAGCACGGGAAGACAGACCTAGTAAAGAATGTGTTTCTCCTTCAACGTCCTTCAGAAGAAGCTGGAGGAGGGAGATCATATAAAGTTTTTATATAAGTGGCATCATTTGTCCAGAAATTTAGTGAATTCACTGACAGAGAGTAGATTTAGAAAGAGTGTTAGGAAGAAATCCTTCCCCTGTGAGGTGGGCAGGCCCTGGCACAGGCGCCCAGATCAGCTGTGGCTGCCCCTGGATCCCTGGAAGAGTCCAAGGTGAGGCTTGATGGGGCTTGGAGCACAGTGGAAGTGTCCCTGACATGGCAGGGGTGGCATGGATGGGTTTTGAGGTCCCTTCCACCCCAAACCATTCCAATATTCTGTGCCATTTTCCATGTACGTGACAGAAGCTTGAACAAACCCTTGCCATGTTGGGACTCAGTGAAGAGCCCAGAACCTCCGTGCCATTCCCATCTGAAAGGGGGGATTTTTGTTGTGTTTTTGTTGCGTTTCTGCCGTGTTTCCCTCATCCCCATTTCCCTGAGCTGAGCGCGCAGCTCCCTCTGTGTTCCCCTCCGCAGTCCCACCGCAAGTTCTCAGCTCCCAGGCACGGCCACCTGGGCTTCCTGCCCCACAAGCGCAGCCGCCGGCACCGCGGCAAGGTGAAGGCCTGGCCCAAGGATGACCCCAGCAAACCAGTGCACCTGACAGCTTTCCTGGGCTACAAGGCTGGCATGACCCACACCGTGCGCGAGGTGCACCGGCCCGGCCTCAGTAAGGCTGGGCTGCAGGGGGAGGGAAACTGGGAATGGGCTCCTGGGGAAAGAAANGACGGGGCAGCAGAACCGGGTGCCGGCCGGTGCTGGCACCTGGTGACTCTTGCCCCTGGGTTTCTCTGCCAGTGGATTCCTGTCACCAAACTCGGCCGCCTGGTCAAGGATATGAAGATCAAGTCTCTTGAGGAGATTTATCTCTTCTCGCTTCCCATCAAGGTGAGTTGCTGTGGACATGAAAGGGATGGGTCAGGGAGACGCTCCAAGGGGTGGAGCCGGG